AGGTAATGTTGAATGAACCAATGCTCTGACAAGCAGGCATCTTAATGATTAAGTTTTGTTGTGGTATTTCAGTCAAACTCCTGATCAGTCTTTCAGTGTCTCCAACATTTATGACTATCCTTTCCTTCGCAGACTTCTATCAGGGATCCCTGTATTTAGAGAAGTGACTCCTATTATATAGCTATTTTATTTTATTTCCTGATCATCTTATTATTTGTTTTTAACTTAGGCACTGAAAAATTAAAGCCCATTAATATATTTTGACAATGGGAAAAAAAAACTGAATGAAGACCCCAAACTGTAAATGTTATAGGAGACTAATTCATTTGCTTTTCAGTCAACAACATTCATTAATTGCATCTGATAAAGCTACAAAAGAAATAAGAAGTAGAATATAGCTATTTTAAATTTTATGTTATGATCCCTTCTAAAATCAGTTTTTAGAATCCTTGAGGTACCTGTGAACATTATAAAATAGCTGCATCTGACATGGATTGTCCCCTCGCTAAGCTAGAAAGCCACCAGGGTTACAATGGAAGAATGCTTCAGCTGAAGGAACTTGAAGGGCCAAGGGGGTAATGCTGGCTGATGACCCATCTGCTGCTGTAAAACTCACTCTACATGGCATCCTCAGCACAGAGAGATGCAGACTTGCCTGGACAGCATCTGAGCCATTGTGTGTTCCCGTGGTCTTCTGCCACCAATGGGGTTTTATAAAAATGTACGCATGAGCTGCCTCTTAGACAGCCTGTCAGTAGCCTTATGAAGGATGTAATCAGGACTCTCCACAAACAATTCTGATTCACAGGCCTGGGTAAGAACTTCTGATCTAAGCTATGGTCTTGGTGAGAATTTGGGAGCAAATGGCCAGTATCTTTGTGCCATATTACCTGGTCATGTTACCAAGGACCAAAGGAAGCATTATCCATGAACATCTCACTTCATAGGCTCTTACAGGCCTGGCCATTTAGTTCAGATCCAAACATTTATCCAGTGGTACAGAGCACATAGGTAGGGTGGAGTGTGAGTTAATGGAGACAGCACACATAAGCATGGGAGTATGTATTCAGTTGACTTGAGGCTAGAAGATACGATGGGCAAACTAAATAACATTAAATATTGTATTAAATATAAATTAAATCTTATAACTAGTCAAGAGAAATAGCAATTTTGTGACAAACGTGCACTTTTCTAAGATATTTACAAATATATGTGCTCATTTAATTCTCACCATAGCAACACAATGAAAGACATAGAATTATTTCCCCAGGTTTTTGCAAGAGGCAGCTGGTGTATACACATGAAGAAACTCGAAAACCAGCCCAAGTTCACACAGCTAGTTAACTGGCCAGGCTAAATATCAACCCAAGTAGAGTTTCAAATTTAAGAGTCCTTGCTTTTAACCTGTCCACCAAACTGCTTTTAATATCTAAACTAGAATATATAACTGATAAGGAGCTACCATATAGCACAGGGAACTCTACTCAATACCCTCTAATGTCCTATATGGGGAAAGAAGCTAAAGAAAGAGTTGATATATGTATATATATAACTGGCCCACCTTGCCATACAGCAGAAAATAGCAGAATACTATAAATCAACTATACTCCAGTAAAATTAAACAAGCAAAAAACAAACAAAAAAATTGGAATTGTGGTTGAATTTGCCAAGAAGCTAATAATTTAGAGATATTTCCAAAATTGATGCTAAACAAGAGTAACTAGTAAAGTGGATGCCCATACCTATTTTAAAGGAATTATACCAGCCCCCAATTAAAAGCCAAACCTCTGTTTCCATTGAGTGAATATTCAATCAATATGAATGATACCTATATTAAGAGCTGGACATAAAGCATTAAACCAGCGAAAAGTCCAGACTATTAAATTCAGAACAGGCCACAGAGAGCTTTCTGTGCTTCTTTGATCTCCAGAGAGGTAGCATGTTTCCTGGGACTGTGATCAGGAGACCTGCCCGACCCATTTAAGTTCACGTTTTCATATCTGTGCCCATGTCTAACCTCAAATTCTCTGCTAACTTACAGCTGAACCCTGCTTCAAATCTCTCTGAAACCCTTAGCCAATGTCATTTATTTATTCTGACTGCTGTATCCCCTCTCTGACTTCTGAGAAGGCCCCTGATTTGGGAGCTGCCTTACGGCACAGACAGATTAGTTTATGGTCCTACAAGGTTAAGCGTGATACATACGTTTGGGGGAAATGAAGATGCGCATTAAGAAGAAACATTACTTTTTGATCCAGGCAGAAGAGCATACATAATCTTCTCTAGAGCCTGTGAAAGACTTCATTTTACACATGAAATTATGTGGAATTGCCCTGGACCACACTGAATATTGTTTTTGAGAATAACCAGCCTCAAAACAAGCTGCTGTGCTCTGGTGAGAGCCTCCAGCAACAGAGAATAAAATGTAAGCAAATGTAATCTGTGTCAAGTTACAGGTAACAAAGACAGCATCTTGTGACACTGTGCCTGAATGGGATAGATCTCAAACATTACATGATGTGGCATTAGAAACAGAATCAAAAAGTGGTCCTAGTACTGATGAAAGAAGTATAAGACAGAAGAGCCTGGCACAGCATAGAAAAAGTTTTAAATTAAGATATATGTATTTTGGGGAGGGTGGTTTAAGAGAGTTTAATGTGAAAGCATAAAGATATGTTGAGGTAATTACTGCAAAATAAAAAAGAGGCATGTGTTTGCAGATAACTTGAGCTAAAGATATAAAGAAAGAAACATACTTACATCATGATCATGCTATGATCAACATCAACATGATCAACATCAACGGTCATTCCTATTTTCATCCAAAAGTCCTGCAGGCAATCATTGCTCCTTTCTGAAAGTGAGATAGTTCGAGCATTCTAACAGGAAAGTGAATCAATGGCTGAGGTTTGTTCCCTCCCTACTCAAGATATGTGTGTTTAAATTGTGTAAAAAGATTTTTCTCTTTTTCTGTGCATTGTAAAACTTCCTTTACAGTCAGACATAAAAATCCATGTCCAGAAAATGTAAAGAACAAATCAATTTCTAAAAGCATCTTCATAAACTAAACCAAAGGAGATTTTTAACCACTTGAGAATTTACCTAATTGATCAGCACTAGGAATCTGGTTAGCTCTATAAAAGCTCTATAAAATTTTCTACTGAAAATTTGAAGGCAAAATAGGACTTGAGTGTATTAGAACTGAAGTTGTGAGATTTACACTGCATAATGCACCTCCCAGTTTAAAGTGCCCTGCTACTCAAGCATAATAAATAAATCACATATAAAAAATTTAGAAGAAAGGTCTCCTGCACATTATGGGAAAATTGTAGGCATCTTATGATGGGTCATCTTACCCTTGTTATTAAATGACAGCAATCATTAAAATGCCAAACATATTTTGACAGAATTCACTTTATAAAATGTCAGCAAGACTGTGTTTTTATTAGTTTGTTCCAAATCAATTTAGAAATTTCAATAGAATGCTTGTAAGTATTCCCCAAGCAATGTCCATTCCTGACTTTCTGCACACACAAAAAAATTACAAATTAATCAGATTTTCAGATTTCTGCATAATGGCTTTGCACATTTATTGCTTAATCCTATTATAAAATGCTGTTATGATTGACACATGGCTGTGGAGATAGAAGTCAATTGAATAATATGTAGCAGTCAATTTTATTTGTAGCTTAATGCGCTGAAGTATTTTTTCCCCATTTCCATTATTTATAAGTCTGTCCCTTTGGAGAATATATAGAAGAATTCGTTTTAAATGAGCCAATAATACCTTCTTTAAAATTTATAAGTGTGACAGAATCATATCTTTTCTTCTTGGTCATCCATGGCCTGCCAGTAAACAGGGCTTGAGTTGTCTTCCACTTGCTATTCATAGAACAAACATCAGAAAAGAGGATCTTGTTAAGGATGGCTTGGAATTGGATTTCAACCACCAAGAAAACAAAAGCTTCCAACTAAGAATCCTAAAAAATGGCTGCTAGCTTTATTTCTTTGTTTGCTTGTTCATTTATTCACATATTTATTGTTATGGCCACTATATCACATTCTATGGTTGGTCCTAAAACAAAGCATATAAGCATACCCAGAGAAACTATAATGTTTAAGAAGATTTGAAAGATCTGCTATTTTGATTGAATTTTGTTTCCCATGCTTTAGCATCCAACAGAATTCTAGCAAAAGAAATATGTTATGTTCTAGGCTCACCACAGTGGGGCTCCTTGAGGGTAGGGTGATGGTCAGTTAGCACTGAGGAAATTTGCTTAAGGAGATACATGTACTTTTTAGGACCTAAGTGCCACCACAAGAACCTACTGTATAGCATGGAGAACTGTACTCAGTATCTTGTAATAACCTATAAGGAAAAAGGACATACATATACATACATATACATGTACATATATGTATATATAACTGAATCACTGTTCTGTCCACCTGGAATTAATACAACATTGTGAATCAACTATAATTCAGTTAAAAAAAGGAAAAGCTCTTGTTTCCTGGAAAATGCATCCATGAGATTCAATGTCTGAAGTGTGTATGGAGAAAGAGCTTAAGGGTATGAAGCCATGTTAAAGGATAATATAGATGTGCTTGGTCATGTCTGAGATCACGCTTTCCCTGGCTTTGGGAAATTAGATTAGGTGTTGCCCCTCTGTCCATAAAGGATGTGGTTTCGCACACAGGGGCCGCATTGACACACCCCCTGCAGCTGATGTATAATGCAAGCCTATTAGCACCACGGATGATGGTGTCATTTTCTCTGCTGCCACGGCCTTCTCCCTCCTGGAATGACTTTGTCCATCCTGAATGTCTGTTAGCATAATGTATGCAGTTGACAAGTGATTTGAGCTCTGGAGCTATTGATAAAGCACTCTGGCATATCATCTGTGCCTTAATGTTATGTGACATCACAGGAAAATGGGGTCATGTGAAGTTCCCAGGCTGGTTTTATATTAAGGGCGCACTTCTCTTTTGAATTCCAGGGGCCAGAGGAAACCCAGCACTATCAGACCCAGGCACTCCTGAACACCAGGCCAGTCAGACCCACCCCCCCTTCCCAGTTGGGCCACAGGTCAGTATCTTTCAACTGCTGCATTTAGGCTGCATTTCTGATGGTTTAACAGTGTAAGTAACCAAACAAATAAAATAAGAATGAGTTAAAACCAATTAACTCCAACAGAGCAAAGATGGTGATAAATTTTTGTATGGGAAGCTATATGACTACATTATTTATGAAATACCATCAAGAAAAAAGAATGTGTTAGCAGAACTCTTCTCTTTTTCAAGGGGATGTTGATTTTAATCATTTGAATTTTATTTTTTCTTAAAACCCACTACAATTGTGCTGTTGGTTACCATGCAGTTTTCTGGAAACTAAAACTTTAATGACTGGAGTGTGAAGAAAATTAAGTTATTTCAACCTTACTATAGCTGTTTTTTGAAATACAAGACATGATTTAATATAAAAAAGTTAATGCAATTTTAATGCAAGTTCAGCTTATTGGGTTTGACAATATTGTACATCACATATAGCTCCTGCATTAATAAAGAAATACATTCATTATTTTTTAAAGTCCAATATTTGTTTTTGGCCGCCTGGTGTGGTTATATGAAGATGTAGAACGCAATTATAAAAGGCTGGGCATTTTTTTTAAAATCTCTGTCCTTCAGTAGTGTGAAGCTCTCAGAGTTCACCCACTTTTTTTTTTTTTTTTTTTTGGAAAAAGAAGCTGATCCTTGAGCCTTTCTCCCTCTTTGGCTGTGATAGTTTTTCCTGAAAATGAGTCACTTTCAGCACTTTGGGAATCATCAGTCCAAGCAAAGCTTGAAAACCCACGTTTAGAGCTTGAGTTGGTCTTGACTTTCTTATTCCAGCTGCCATCACATCTCCCGGCGGCGTCAGATTCCAACATCCATCTCAGAGCATGGATGCCTCTGTGCTCCAGACAGAAAGCCTGGGGAGATGCCTCAACTCTGTTGGAGCCTAGAGGGAATATTACTGGGCATCTCAGAAACTAACTTCTTTTGGTCATGCCCTTTCTAATTTCATGCTTATGACATTTTGTGTGTGTGTGTGTGTGAGCCTACCAAGTGTAACAACTCTAATGCCTTCAGGTTAGAAACAGCACAACAGACCCAGTGAGAAGCAAGAGACCCTGGGACAAGCTAAGAGTACATGCCCTACTGTAATCCCATGAATTCAATTTTTAAAAACGCTATAGGCCACGTCAACCAAATCTGTGGCCCGAACACAGTCTGATACTGCCTATTTGCCTACCCTCTCATCCTGGTATTACTATTGGCAGTGATATGACACCAGCAGTCTGAAGATCAGCTTATCATTTTATACTTATTCCTAAAAAATGTTTATTTTGTCTTTTAGTGTAACTTTTAAAGAGAGGCACAGTTACTTTGTGAGAATTTAGCAAAGTCTAGCAGATATATTAGGTGCTGGTCCCATGCAGTTCAGAGGCATGGTTCTAAAACCAGGGTGCATGGGGTTCCAGTGCTTCTTCAGAGGGCTCTCTGGAAGGGGTCTTGAGGCATGACTTTAGGGAATAACCAGAAAGTGGGCCTAGCTCTCAACACCGTGCTTGAGATAAAGCCACCCCACTTCTCCAAATCTGTTCTGTGTATGGAGAGGGGGGGTGAGGTATGGGCTCTGAAATAGCCTGGCTGGATCTGAAAGCCCCCACCCCACTTCTCTGAGTATGTAACTTTGAGTGTGTTACTAACTCTCGTATCTCATTGGTGGGACATCAGAGTTAATACATGTTAGAATCATGTCTGGCTATTATGCTTTGGGCTTCGTACTATGCTTACCTTTTCCTTTATAGACTCATACTGCGTTAAGAACAAAAAAGTTGAAACTCTCCAATGAGAGTTTCTTATTGGTTCCTCTAGAAGAAAAATGAGCATGGAATTGGGTCCATTGCTCCTTCAGGGGTGCAATAAAAGCCCCATATATCACCCTCTGGTTATCTGGTCTGGTTGCTCAAGGAGTCCCTCCTGCTTTTCAGTCATCCTGAAGAGCCTCACCGGTGCTCACACCTGAGCTCAGACAAATCTGGTGCTGAGAAGTCCACACCTGGGGACTGCGGCTGCCTTGCCATATCAAACAATGGCTGCTGGATGAGTAGTGGATATAAATATCTGTTTTTAGTGTTGTTTTAACTGGACAAATAATATTAGTGTAATAACAAAAGAAATTTTTTTAAAGCTTTTAAAATTTATCCTCATCAAATGTCTTTGTTTTCCTATATTCCTTTTTGGATCTTGTCATTATACATGTGTAATGTGTAATTTTACTATTTTAATAGTGATTTCTTAATCATTTACTTAATTATTATCCAGTTAATTTTGTATGTTCTCATAAATATTTTCTATTATTCTAGCGATGTCAGAATGACCCATTTTAAAGACTATGTAATATCTTACCATGTTTAGTACTATAAAAAACTTTTTCAACATTTATATATTTTTTAATGTAGTGCATATTTTCATTTATCTTTTTAAAAAATTATATCTTCAGAAATATATCTCAGGAATATTTTCTGAGTCAAAAGAGGATGAATATTTTTGTAGCTCTTGATATGGATTTTCAAACACCGGAGGCACACCGGCCCTCAACCAGCCCATCCTCATCCCCTTCAACATGGCCGGCCAGCTAGGGGGGCAGCAAGGACTGGTCCTCACACTGCCTACTGCGAATCTCACCAACATCCAAGGGCTGGTAGCAGCAGCTGCAGCCGGAGGCATTATGACTCTGCCATTGCAAAATCTACAAGGTAACCCGCTGTGTCTTTGTGTCCTATAGGGTGCTACCCACTGACCCCTCTTCTCTATAGTGGACAAGTGCTCTGAATGTTGAATGTGATTTAAAGTTGCTTTCACCATAAAGGCAATGGAAGTTTTATGTAGGAAGCAAAGTTTCAGGGTGTCTGTGAATCCAGAGTTTGCTCAAGTCATGGGCTGTATCAGTCTTTATGTTTTAATATTGATTGGAGTCTTTTCAAGGCTTCTGGAAGCATTTATGAGCAATCATTGAATGACCCATCAAAAACTTAGATGTCAAACGATTGTGTCATTATTTGAGGACTCGAAATATAATCTCATGAGTTCTTCAATTTAGCCACCTGCAAAGAAAGTTTAGACATTACTTGTTTGTGTGTGAAGCATTTAGAACATCTGAAATAAAAGGTATCATTTGGAATAATTAATGTATTTTTCTTAATATATTTTAGTTATAATTATTAAATAAAAATTATATTATTTGAGGTCATATTTTATAATGGGAGAAACAGACATATAGAGAACTCTTATCTTGTATAATCATGAGCATATAATAAGAATTGAACTCTAACTTTACTCAGGAAGAATAGTTCTCTTAACAGCATGAAAGTTTTTATTTTTCATTAGAAGATTTGGTAACACTGTCTGATAGACTGATTTACAAAAGACTGTCAGAGGAAGAACTGTTATCATGAAAAATAGCTTGAATATGATGAGGATGCCTAAAAAGGAGAAAACAAATTTATTTTGGACTGGTCAAAGAAGGTTGCTTTCTCCATTGATATAAATGTTGGCAATTTTTTTTTTCAGAGTGAGACTTTAGTTGGGCAAGTTATCAGAATAACAATGTAAAGTACTTTTTTAGTTGGTCAAAAGTCACGGCTTCTGTTTTCTCCATTGGTATACATGTTAGCAATTGAATTTTTTATGGAGTGAGAGTTTGGTTGAGCAAGTTATCAGAATAACAATTTAAAGTACTTTTTGTAGCTCAAAAGTCAGGGCCCCTTAAAACCTATTAAATTAGTCAGAGTGTCAGTCCATAGATTAAGGAACAGACCAAGTAAGACCTGGTTAACTCTTGACCCAAACTTCTTTACACACTCTGTGTTTTAGTGTCCCACCCATTGTGGCCACTTTTTGACTTTCACTTTAATGTTTAAAACAAAGTCTCTCTTATACCATTAAATTGTGCCAAGAAACCTGCCGTTCATAAATCATGCATGCTCAGGACACGCTAATGCACAAACTTTGCTTGTTTCAAATTTGAGAGTGCCTGGAAAGCCAGGATCTCAAGATTAAGCAAATAAGGCAGGAATAAACAAGGTGAAAGCTAAAGCAACAAAGTGTAGGGAGAGGCTTTTTAATGTAGGTGGATGATGAAAACTTAATGAAGAAACAGGCATTATCAAAATGCAATCTTCCATTTGGAACATTTGCGCTTATGGGAATATTGAATATTATAAATAAACATAAGCTCACAGAGTTCCTAGGTCATGAATTAATCTTGTTTGGTTAAAGTGGATGCCAAAGACAGAGTCTAAAACGTCCAGTCTTTTTGTATCTTTATTATGATTTGGTGTTCTTAGGATTTTAGTGCCTGATTATTTTTAAGGGTTCAGTATGAGTGAATGGTCCAGTGTGGACTCCCATCAAGATTTCCCCCCCTCTCTCTTTTTAATTATTGAATTTGGTGTTAGCTTTATTTTGGAATTTGGTTCTTTGGAATTTGGCACCTTTGGTTTCAGAAAATGAATCCTAAGATTTGTATCCTGTTTAAGTAGTTTCCATAACAGTGGTGCTTCTCACACAATTTCCAAATTGGCTTCTCTTCAGAAGAGTATTAAAATTGATGGTCAAGTTCTTCTCTAAGGGGACGTTTGTCCCTTTGTCTCCATGTTTGAAGTTTCAGTAATGCTGGAGGGGAGTCAGGAGGTCATTAATAAACACCCCCCGGTTGTATGTCAGCCAGTTATAGGAAGTTTCCTAGTTATTCTTAACACTCAAACTCTTCCTCCAAACAACTTTCTCTTGTATATCGTTATGAATGAATCCCAACTTCTAAGTCACTGTTAGGGTCTGGGAAAGTTCTCTCCCAGTTTCCTTGGGCTTTTTGTTCCTGTCACATCTTCCTACATAAGTTCTACACCACCCAGAATTCACCAGCCTGAGAAAAGACCAGCCATCCCTGTTTGCAGGGCACGGGGGATTTTTCTTGGACAGAGGACTTTCACTGTTGAAACCAGCAAGTCAGTTCAGTTGCTCAATCATGTAGACTCTTTGTGACCCCATAGACTGTAGCACGCCAGCCTTCCCTGTCCATCACCAATTCCTGGAGTTTGCTCAAACTCATGCTCATTGAGTCGGTGATGCCATCCAACCATCTCATCCTCTGTCGTCCACTTCTTCTCCTGCCTTCAATCTTTCCCAGCATCAGGGTCTTTTCCACTGAGTCAATTCTTCACATCAGGTGCCAAAGTATTGGAGCTTCAGCTTCAGCATCAGCCATTCCAATGAATATTCAGGACTGATTTCCTTTAGGATTGACTGGTTTGATCTTCTTGCTGTCCCAGACAAACCAGAAAGAGATGGTCACCCTACAAAACATCCAAGGATAATAAGGACGGGAATCAGGGAAAGTCTCATCTCTGCAAGGTATCCAGAATCAGTGTCCACCACCTGAAGGACAATGCCAGTCAGTCACTTTGTTGTCCAGCAGCCAACCTGAGGATGATCTCACCACCTTAAGGAAACCTACTGTGGCCCTTACAGTCAATCCCTTGTATAGCTCCCCAGTTTATGTCACGGAAGGTTATAGGACTCAGGATGGCGGGTGAATGGCTGGCAACCAGAAAGTCATCTGCAGTGGTCCCGGTTGACTCTGAGGCTAAACCAGTCCTAGAAGTCCTCAAGTTTCATCCTTTTTCAAGGGTAATGGTCTTGTAAATGGGAGACAGTATTTAAGAAGGAGTCCTTACATGCGTTTTTATAGCTAACAGAATAGAATGCTCTGCCTCCTCCCTATGGCCTGCTTCTAGTCAATGAAAATGGAACCTCGGTCCAAGGCTTTTTAAGAGTCTTTTAAAACAACCAGTAAGTCTGCCCAGCTATAATAGCTAGCCCACCTTCTCCCATAATTTTACAGGACAGATTTGATTCGTCACTCTGAGGGGGAGGGGCTCAAGTGTTCAACCCCTGGTCTGAAGTAGGGCCTGTTTCCATAGGAGGCATTTAGTTCTGGATGGTTCCTCTTTTCCTCCTTGTGAAGCATTAAGATCTTATTCATGAAATGAGTCTGCCAGCTGGAATTCTCTCTGATTATTCTCTAGCTCTCCTGCCTAGTCTTTCACCCTGTCTGTTCTTCTAGTTCAAAAGCTACAAGTTTGCTAAGGAAAAAAAAAAAAAAATACTGACATCCATTTCTTAATGGTTTGGAATCCCAGGGATAAATTTTCAAGTATCTTCCTCTTTACTAAAGGGATCAAGAGCTGGTTCATTTAAGTTCCCTATCAAGTGATGTGAAATAGCTCTCAGAGCCTCAGAGGCCTGATTCCTGCATATATTTTAATGAGTACTAATGATACGTTACATGAGAGCAGCTTCTCTCTGCTCAGGCAGCAGGGGTCCTATCACAGTTTCTTTGTCTTTCACTGTGCATGGTCTCCAGACCAGCAGCTTCAGCATCTCATCAAGGCTGTATCCCAGACAACTTGAACAGAGTCTACATTCTTAAAAGGGGATCCCTATGTACACTAAGGTCTTTCCTGGTGTCTCAGATGGTGAAGAAGCTGCTTGCAATGCAGGAGACCTGGGTATGATCCCTGGGTTGGGAGGATCCCCTGGAGAAAGGAATGGCAAGCCACTCCAGTATTCTTGCCTGGAGAATCCCATGGACAGAGAGTCTGGTGAGCTACAGTCCATGGGGTTGCAAAGAGTCAGACACAACTGAGCAACTAACACACACACACACATACACACACACACACACACAAGTTTAAGAAAGCCTGGTTCAAGGAGAATTTTCAAAACTAATTTGGCCCCTCCTCTGCTCTCTCCAGCAACTTCTTCAGGACTCTGAGTATTTTAAGATCATCAGGAGCTATGTAACTATGATAAGCACCTTCATTAATTCTCCTGCTCTCTCTCACCACGCCAGGCCTCTAAATGAGGATAATGACCAAAAGGAATAACTTATTTGAGAACATTTTTGTTTTCATAAGACAGTCATATCCCCAAGACCAAGAGGCATTCTCTTGCATAATTAAAACATATGGAAGCCTTTGCTCTGAGATTTTATCCAGCAAAAGTTCTGCATCCTGAAAAAGAGACCATATTGCCCTGCAGAAAACCCATCTGCTTGGCTTAGGGATCATTTTCTCTTTCTCTTCAGATCCTTCCAAGTGAGAAAGAGATACACTCCTGTCTCATCAATGATGGAATGAGACCTGTCTGTTCTCTTCCCCTATTCCTCCTTGTGACACTTCCCTACCATGCTGGTTGACTTTTAGCTAACCCATAACTTTGCTTCATTCATATTCCATTCTGTCTTCTTGGAGTCCGTGCAACTTCCCAGCTCATGTACCTCTCAGGAAGTCTCCATTGATATCTCTCCTTCCATCACCTCTATCTTTATCCCTGTCTCCACTTCTATCTAAAATTCAAGCTCCCTGAAACTCACATTCCTGTCAGTCTGACCCTTTGCATTCTAGGCTGCCTACCCGGTCACCCTGGAGCTTGACTACCCACGTGGAAGTGTCCTCTCCTGTCCAATCAGCTGTAATGTGGGGGGCAGGGGAAGCCAGGATGACATAGTATCAAACATGGGCAACTTATTTAAGAAATCACTGGGACAGCCTATGGTCTGAACTGGGAGATGCCGAAGCTGGGATCTAGGTTCTGAACGTTTTAAGGAAAGTCTTTGAATGTCCTGGCTGGGATGCAAGCCCAGAAATTCTCTATACTCAGATAAGAACAGGAAATAACCTACTCCTCGACACTG